GGTAGGCGCAAAGTTGCGTCAGTAGAATTTGTTGTTACACTAATAGCCATCCTAGTCAAGATTTAGCAAGGACAGGACTTGATTGTCAATTTAGTTAGACTACGGCATGCATCCGGAAATAAAGTTGAACTTTAGGCTGGACTGCCATTTTGATAACATATTGCTCTTCTAATTAATCCAAGCTCTATCAGAATCATGGATAGGCGGATGATGGTGCAAACTCAAACCCTTAGGCTGCATTGCTCTAAACCCAGCAAATCGCACGATATCTGATAGCCACGAACAAATGAGATTTTTTTGTATGGCAAACACACAACAGTCAATGGATGTAAAAGGCTCTACTAAAGATGGGATTTGAGTAAAACCTAATTTGTCGAGAATGTTTTCCGTCGTGTAGCCTAATGTGGCCTAGATAGTAATGAGTTTTAACACAATGCGAAATCAAGCTATCGCAGAGTAAACATATATCCATTCACGTGAAACAATGAGAAAATGATGCATCGTCAATTCGTCTGATTCATGCCCGTTAATGTAATGACCCACAAATGGCAGATCTTTAATGTGCACCAAGTAAATGAATATAAGTTGTTTGACCTTGTTTTCGCAACATGGTCATACTGGCGGGAAGACCGAGGGCAACGCATCTTATCCGGAGTCCATAGTATGCATGATAACTTCCAGTCAGGCCGTGGACTTGATACATTCCCAGACGTTTCGTAGATGCGTTCCTCTAGATCTTCCTGCCAATTAGACCAAGCTGCGAAAACAAGGTCAAGCAACTTATATACAACGAAAGGAGATCGCGAACACATAAAAGGCCACACCATCTTGGTCTTCATACCTTCAAGTTCAGTTTGGACTAATGTCTTCATATGCATTTTGGCTAGGCTGATAAAACTAACTCAATAGAAACTGAATAGTAATAAAAACCATTAGTCAGTGTTGCAATAATTACATATTTTAACAGAAAAAAAAGTTCTTGAGAGTGTGGGATTTGATGAATATCGCTTCTGAATGATTTACCAAAACGAAACTTTAGGCTTTATTTCCAATATAGAAGCTAAGCAGAAAACACTTATTATAGGAAGCAATTTTAATAGGGAGGACGAACAGGCTAAGTACGTCCCGAATTATAGAGCTATAGACCTTATAGTCCATTATACTAACGAACAAGCATGCCAGTTCTCAATCAGAAACATATATGAGCAAGTTAAAACATAAACTGCAGGATCAGTAAGTTTAAATAGAGATAATTCAAGTGAAGACCATTGGTGCGTACATTTTCCAGACACTGCAGATCCATTTTGGCCAGAAATAGTAGTAGATTCTGGGCAGCAGGACGAGATAGACAACCCACGCGCTGAACCACCTCCATTCCAACTGGCATGCTATTTCCTGTAATATTTCCATGACCTGTTGACTGCGAGCTACGTCCTGAGTTCGAAGTTTCAACTGGAGACCGGAACAAGCGGATGTCTGAGATTTTAGCGCCCATATGAACCTTGCCCGAAGATTGGCCCAGGGTCCCAGGATGTGCATAAGCACTAGCTGATAAAGTACTACGCACATTGGATTCTTCTTCGAGGATGCCAAACGTCTGATGATTGCTGTTTTCAAGTCCATTACCTAATCGTGTTGTCAGATTGGATGGTTCAATTCCAATACCGATGGATGGCGATGAGTTTATAGAGTCTCCTGTGGCCAATAAGTTGGGTGACAAATGAGAATGAAAAGAGTAATCTGACATGCCACCAGGGAAGGGCAGGGATTGACGACCGTCGCTCTCATGCGACATGAGACGATCGTCAAGCTTATTGATATCAGCCGATGTCGGAACTAAGTCGATATCGTGTTCTGAGGCGGCATTTACAGGGTCTGTGAAGGCAGAAACTAGCTGAGAAAATTGGGCGAGAGCCACACCACGCAGCATAAAGCGTGCAGCAGGAAAAAGAAAGTCAACCAAAAGCAAAGGGACCAATTTGCGGGCCTGGTAGAGGCACAAGGCCACCATAAGGGGTGTGGGAGGCTGAACGCTAACTGAGCATAAGAGCTGTGACATTTCCAAGCATGAAGGTGGCGCCAAGCCTGTATCCTCCACTTCATTGTCCTCCTCGTCCTCTCGTAAAGGTTTATCCTCCTCATCGTCAGCATCATTGACAGAGCCCTGAGTAGTGTACAGTATCTCTGAATCACCGCTTGCCGCACGGAATGACGCAAACACAGAATTCGGATGAGTAGTGGTGAATGAAGGAGTAGCATTCATAGACGAGCCACTAGCTACATCTGCAGCTTGTAGTGGTTGGTGGGCCTCCTCTTTAAAACATGCAGATTCAGAAGGGTCAGTAGAAGGCTCGAAATGAAATCGGCCCTGGAAGCGAGAAGCTAGAGCGGCTAACTGGTTGTCCGAGCGGGCAAATAGCCGGATTAGACTCAAAGGGGAAGAGAGAAAAGTGCAGTGACGTGGCTGTTTAAATTCCGTAAGGCCGGTGAGCAGCGAGCATTTCTGGCCTGATGTCGCCCTTGACTCTGAAGTGGCAGAAGAACTAACGTCTGCGAGGGAAGTTTCGCTGAGGAAGAGAGAGGCAACCAAACGGGAGCAGATAGTTCGAAAGAGAATCAAATGGCCCGAAAGAAGGCGATCTTCCAAGCTATTGGAGGAGGGGATAGAGGTGGTGAAACTTCGAAGCCAGATATATTCATCCTGTTAGGGCAAAACGCAAAGTAAAGCACATCAAAAGAGAATAGTGACTAAAGAAATGAAAAGTTAGCGATTTCTTGTCTAATTGTAGCCATAAGGAGGAAGAAAAGGGTGAAATACGAGTTAAAATATATGGCAAAATAGCCTAGAGATTAGAAATATCATATTCAAAAGCAAAATTTCTTATTATCAGAACCTCAACACTGTAGACTCAAAAAAGCATGATAATAATCAGGGACTTGGAGACTCAATGGTCTTTGAGTGCAAAAGGATGATTTAAGTCCTAATTATTACTAAAATTGATTCCATGTGGAAACGTTTTAAAGTTTATACGGTAGAAAGTTTTCATTACAAGCTTATAAACAATGGAGCTTACAAAGGAATTTTCCTGACTCATATAAAGGATCTTAAATGAATGCATTGGTAGGAAAAATTAAGATATCTGAGAACAAGTTTTTCAAGGCAACGGATCGATTAGATGCAATTAAAATAGACAAGTAGACTATAAATTTATCTGAATCATAGAAAATAAAAACATAGCTAAAAGCCACCGGTATACTGAACGGCAGGGTTGAAATAGATTAAGAGTAAAGAAAGCTCATCAGACTTTAAACAAAGCATTTAAAACTGGTTTGGCCTCCTTTTCACAACTTGGTCGTGTTGTCAAGGCGACTTAGCTAGATACACCTTGCCTGAAATCCTCTGCTATAGTAGTTAGATAATTCCCAGTGTTGGGCCGTGGACTTGAAACATTCCCAGACGTATCGCCGGCGTCGTAGTGGGCATCGTCAGTGAATCATGCCAGTCTTAGCACCAAGCTATAACTCGTCAAAGAGGCAAGTGAAGTCAATACCTTGCCAAAAGGCTGCATCCTGGCAACTGTATTTACTCCCTACCCTCGACCTCATTACCGCTCTACAACAACTGACTTGTTTATATTCCATACTCTATAGGTGTGACCTTTTTAGCAAGTTTAGTGTGGTGTCATCACACCTGCAGGTTATCTAGTCGGCCCTCCCTCTCGATTTGCTGGCCCGACTCGGACATTGATGGGACCCGAGATTCGTTTCATATATCACTGGTCGAGTGATTTTATACGATTCCAGTCTCAGTATATGTTTTACTCCAGGCGCTATTTGATACTTCCTGAGTAGCAGGTTCACTGTCGCCTCAACGAGCAGAGAGCGTAGCATTAAATTTCAATTTATATAAGTTGGTTGACCTCATTGTCGCAACTTGGTCTTATTGTCAGGGCGACTTAGTAGAAAGCACCTAGTCCGAAGTCGTCTGCCATAGCAGTTGTCATGATTCCCAGCATCTGACAGTGGACTTGGTACATTCTCAAACGTTTCGCCGGCAACGTAGTCGGCATCATCCGCGAGTGCTGACATTCTCCCCACCAAGCTACGAACTCGTCAAAGAGACAAGTTAAGTCAATCCCCCGTCAAACGTTCTGCCTAAAACGGTTGCACAATCACTCCTCTCTCCGTCCTGGCCTATCTATCTACTCTGACCTTTTATCCCACTGGTGTCCTATCACAACTTCATACATGTTTACATTCAATTCGTCAAAATGTGTGCCCTTTCGTGGCAAATCTAGTGTGGCCTCATCACACCTGCTATTCATCCGACCCCCTGTCTTTAGATCGGCTCATCCAACTCGGGCCTCCAATCCGGATCCTCTCATTGTCTCGTAGATCCGTTCGTTATCTTTCTGGTTGACCGATTTCACTCGGTTCCAGTCCCACTGTGCATTTTATTCTAGGCGCTATTTCTCAAGGCTCAAGAAGCACATACACTGTCGCTTCACTGAGCAGAGCGCCTAAGATCTGATTCCCATGGTTGCAGATATCAGTCCTTCCCTTCACGGGTCCTCCCCTTGATTAAACCCATGCTACATGAGCAAATGTGGACGCCTATCTCTTGTCGCATGCGGCATCTCAAGTGGATTTCTAGTACATGTTGGCCATAACGCCGAATTTCCGTGACGGTTTGCTTATCCGTCTGCCTAGTTCCTTGACTGCCACGCCCCCAAAGTTGTACTGGTTTGTTAGAAATGGGTATTACTCACTGGCAATTTCTTCGCTTTATTGCTGAAAACCCCTGCTCCCCACTTTTTTCATCATGATCCCTTTTCCTCCGGTTAGCGGTAGATTCTTGATTCAAGCGCCTCCTTTCTGCTGGTCTTGCTCTATTCTTGTTTACCTCGACTTTGTTTAGACAGTAGGCAAAGTTGGCGCTGACTCTACCTTCCTCCAATCTCCTGTTAATTAGAATTTTCTCCCCAAGGATGTCAATGGCCTCCAATATCTTCATCTTCCTTGCGTTGTCACCATATGGAGCTCTTCTTTTAGTTGCCTTCCAATTGATCTCGTGTCCAGTCTGGGCGATGTGTTCCGCTAGTTCTGATCTTTTGGTATCTTTCAAAAGTTGGTCAAGGGATTGACTCCATTTGTTTTTTTGCAGAGGTGTAGCTAGCTGCTAAGACTGGGAACACATTTACTGAAGATGCTGGTGAAACGTTTGGGAATGTACTATGTCGACTATCCAACACTGACAATTTTCATAACTACTATAGCAGAAGACCTCAGACAAGATTTGTCTAACTAGTTCTCCCCGATAGCACGACCAAGTTGCGAAAACTAGGTCAATTTACTACTATACGCCGAAATTAGACTGCGCCTAAAACTGAGGACACAATATTAAGGTATTCACATCTACTGTTAACAAGAAGTTAGGTCTAAGGTACTAAAGCTTTATAGATGAAAGAGTAACAGAATGCAATACCTGGTGAATTTCGGAGCAAAGAGATCTCAAAACTAAATACTGGCCAATGCATATTTCTCAATAAAATCGGTTCTATTTGAATATATGGCTTGTCGTGGCAGAGTGTAAGCAATTCATGAGACCTTTACTTGTGAATATAGCGAAGTAACTGAATTTTTGTGCAAATATTTTTAAGTCGAAATAAATACATAAAACTCTCAAGCACATCCAATATAGTTTCAGGTGATTCAGGAAAAAATAATTTGAAAAATTTAGAGAAAAATATAAATGTCGCTCAGGCAACGATCTGAAGAGAGCTAACTGCTAGAAGATCATAAGCAGGAATAAGAACTGCGTTCACGTTATTTCGTTTAAAATAACGAAAAACTGTTAGTTGGTACTAGTAGGCCCTACATTTAGATTGGATTTCACATAGCCTTGCTTCCCGAAATGTATTGTCATCCAGGATGGACTGCAGTTTCGACCTTGCCTAAACGAGTCTCATTAGCATCCACAGCGGGAATCGAACCCGGTTTGTGGTAGTTCTGCGTAGTCTCGACAAACATTATCGAAACTGGATGATAATACCTTTTGGGAAGCAAGGGTATGTGAAATCCCATGGAAATATGAGGCTACTTATACTATTGTGGGAAAATTCATCTACCAGCCTTTAAGCACCTCAAACGATATAGGGTGAACACATTTATTATTCAAGACATAATGGCTGTCTCAAAACCCTATATAAAATGATTATAGGCAGCAACTTTGAATTTGACTGTATATTATTGATAATCAGGGATATAAAACCAGTTAATTTCCCAGAGTAGGCTACCCTCGTTTCCGCAACTTGATATTGTTGTCAGAGCGACTTAGCTAAACGCATCTTGTCCGAAGTCCTCTGCCATAGTAATTATTATAATTCCCAGCATCAGACCATGGACATTCTCAGAAGTTTCGCCTGCATCGTAGTTGGCATCAACAGTGAGTCTTGACATTCACAAACGTCAAGGGCCACACCACCTTGGTCTTCATAGCTCGGGCTAATTTTTCATTTATAAATATATTTTTGAGACTACCGGTTGCTCATTAGAATGCGATATGGGAAAATGTCTAGTCTTCCTTGAAATTCAGATGTCCTGTGACCCAAGAGCACTTGTGGTAGTGTGGCGTTGTGGTTAAAATGTCGAGATTAGATGCTGAACTGTCATGGTTTGAGTCCCACTGGGAGTGTTGATAAGACCTAGACAAGGTCGAAACTGCAGTTAATCCTGGATGAAAATGCCTTCTATGAAAACAAGGCTGTGAGATTCAATGAAAACTTAAGGTCTACTTATGTGAGAAAATTCAAATACTAGTCCTCTTATCACCTTAAACGAAATAATGTGAATACACTTCTTATAGAACCAGCTTAGTTGCGAACCGTATCAGGCGATTAAATTTGAGTTAAGTGGGATTACATAAAAGCATTACCAGCTTTAAGCATGGGACGATCTTAACTAACTAAATAAAATCGATTCTATCAATGGAGCATTTTTTCCAAAGCCTTAATTAGATAGGTAGATTGCATGACCTGTTAGCAACACAATCTAATATGGACTCATCCAAAGTGGAGTCAGATAAATTGAAAACAAGAACAAGAACGGATAGTCTCAAAAAATGTTCTCATCGAAAGTAAAACAGATGAGGCTTATTTAAGACACTTTCTAAATACTATTTTAAGAGAAAGAGAGGGTTCCTAAAGGTAGGTGATAAGGAAAATACCCCAAAAATTAGATAATAAAAATAATAATTTAACCTGTAATATACTGTATTGCTCAATTCCGAACTTTTCTTTGAGCCAAGTAGGAGGTATGGCGCCTGTAAGCCGACCTCGAATGCGGAAAAACTCAGTACACTGACTAATAAGTGTGAGACAGACAGGACGTGCAGCAGCCACTCGAGCTAGCCAGAAAGGAAGGCGAGCATGCACAAGGATCGCGCGAACCAGCATTTCGAGCAGGGCCGGGTAACGAACAACAATAATGAAAGCTGGCGCAGTAGAGGTAGAGGAAAGTGTCGTACAAGGAAGGTCAATGCTGGGCGTAATTGGAGCGTGGGTTGATTGAATCTTTAGGCCGGAATCATCGTTCTGAAGATAAACGAGAGGCCCTGTCAGGCGGGAACGATCTTGACCATCCATACTGCCCGTCGAATGCAAGAGCCCGGTTACATCGGAAGTGCCTGTGGTAACGGTCAAATGATTGTGGGCTGAAACGACGGCAGGCGATTGTTGATTCATCCTACAGCAAGGCTCAGGAACTCCAATACCAAGAGGAGAGTGATGGCCGGACGAGTTTAGCGGCAACGTGGCAGTTGAACTTGACTGAAGTGGGTGGGAGGGCAGAATAATAGAATTGCGAGATCGGTTAGTGGTAGAGGAACTTGACTGTGAGCTGAAAGAGCGAATGGGGACAGATGCGGATGAGGTACAGGCCAAAGTAGCGACTTGGTCAATTACCGTCGGCGAAGTATAAGATACAGCTGAGGTAGGAAGACGAATAGGGTAAGTTAGATGCGGCAAGCAAAGGAGGCTAAGGTTCTCGAGCTGTCGAGCGGTTTCTGCCCGAACGCTAAAATTTAGAGTAAAAATAGTGTAAAATGGATTAAATTCTAGGTAAGATGAGAAAAGAGTTAAAATATTAGTGTGAAACAACTTTTAAAAAGTACAGGAAAATGTATTATCAAAGCTTAACATTAAAGGTAAATTATAAGAGAAATCTAACTCTAAGGTTTTGTTCGAGCATATATTTAATAATTAATGTGATGGATGAGCACGTGTCTAGTGCGATCATATGGCGCGATCGAGAAGACGCAGCGTTTTCTCTCACGTTTTTGTTTAGTTAGGCCAAATGTCTGGGTTAAATTAATTATGAAGCTTTTACAATATTTCGCGGCGCCCCTGTAAAGAGGCCGCAGCTCCCTGGGGCGCCTCGGTGCACAGTTTTGGAATCACTGCCTTAGTCTATTGTGTGTTAACCCACAAATGTTGTGGTACAGTTTGCTTTGATTGGGTTTAATGTTGAACCACAACTTTTGTGGGTTGGCACACAAGTAAATTACAGACTCTTGGATACCGTTGAGAATTCATACGATTTTTCTCAAAGCATCTAGAACATTGGGTTAGTAAGATCGGCACTATTGGTGAGTTTCGATATACAATCCATGTACACAAACATCCCAGGTAAGAAGGCGGTAGGCGCCTTGCTGGAGATATTGGAGCGAGAAGAGGACATGCTGGAGGCAGAACGTATACACGACTGATCAACCTGACAGTAATGATTACCTATTTTACATTGAACGGCACTATCTATGAGCAAATATTTGTACTACCAATGTGATCTACACTCTCACATATTTTGGCAAATGTCTACATGGACGAATTGGAAATGGAATTCGAGAAATCACCACTGCAACCAAAAGTGCTTATGCGATACTTGAATGACTACTTTCACTTTGGTCACATGGTAAGGAAAATTTAAATGAATTTTTCAATTCAAGTCATGCACTCAAATGGAAGACTCATGAGGAGACTATACAGAAAGAATTCATATGCGAGAATAATCCTTAGTTTTCGATCTCACCATAACTACAGACTGAAGATCGGAATACTGAGGAGTTTGATCATCTGAAACTTACAACTAACGGACATTAAGCTCTGAGACGAGAAGTTTGACAAACTGACACGTATTTGCCTAAGTAACGTGTATTCCAAAAAATTCATAGAAAAAAATTTAGAGGTCATAAAGGGCCGATCATAAGGAAGTGAAATATCAAGGTGATAACAAAAGAGAAATAAACACTTTTCACCAGTCTGCCGACAAAACACGAGAAGACGGACAAACTTGATCACTCGGGAGTTTATCGCATCAAGTCCGGCAACTGTGAGCAGAAGTACATTGATAAAACAGGAAGAAAAATCGGCCTACGAATCAAGGAACATCAAAGACTCTGCAGGAACATGGATACACAAAGATCTGAAATAGCGGAACACATTGCACGAACGGGGCACGAAATCGACTGGAAATCGACAAAAAGGTTGGCTGTATATGGTGAAAATACGATAAAACGCAAGATCCGAGAGGCTATCGATATAATCACCGAGAAAAATCTAATTAATAGGAGACTTGAAAAAGGCAAAATCAGAGAAAACTTTGCATATTGCATAAACAAACTCAAAGAAGACCAGGCAACAGGAAGATCAGCTAAAAGAAGACGACTGGATCAAGTTAATTCCTTAATTTTAGGAAAAGAGAATGCAGGGTGACTAGAAAGGAACAATCAGAAGCAAGGAGGAGACGTCTTCAGTGAGCCTAAGCAAAACATAAAGAACCACGACAATTGTGAGTTAGCACACAAGAGGCTAGGACATAAGGAAGTGATAATATGAGAGATATTCACCCTATTTCGTTTAGGGTTTTCCTAAAATGATATGAGTTGAGCTGACGTTTCTATTTAATTTCATATATACTTGCTTTCCCAAAAATTGTTATCATCCAAGATGGACTGCAGTTTCGACCTCGCATCGGTCTTATCAACACCTCCAGAGAGAGTCGAAACGTGACAGTGCAGAATGGGAGCTTGAAATGCTAACCACTTGACCACATTGCCACGAGTGA